AAGACGCACCAGATGCATCCCAACGCTTCTGATTTTACCCTTTTAAGAAATCCATATATTTCGACCGTTGAAGATTAATACTGTTTTGTCCAATAAACGGCTGACCCGAACAATCCTGTGACTGATTACAAATCGCCTCCTTAAAGGCTGCTGTCGGTGTATATTGGGAAAGAGGACGGAGACAACGAGGAGCCGCAAGACAACTTCTGTAGGTGAGAAGCGTTGAAGCTACAGTATATGTATATATAAACGTGTGTATGGTAATACAGAGGTCCCGAACAGCCGGACCAGTACCGGGCCGAGGGCCATTTCGTACAGGGACACAACACAGAAAGAATAATTATTGTTTTTATTGTTTTACTTTTAAAATGTATGGTATTCTCTCCTAATTACTTCCGCTCATCCCTCTTGACATATTTCCCAGATATTGTCTAACATAAAAAAAAAAAAGATCCTTGAGGCTAAAAAGGTTGGGGATCCACGTGTTAATGTAAAAATAATTATAAATATTGTATTTCCGGAGATGAGGAAGCACATTGGCTCTGACTTGATAGCACCTTTTTGACGTGGAGCGCAATTACTGAGGCTGGCATGTATTCTTTTTGGGCAACAACATGGACATCCGATGACGTCAAAGGTCTGAGAGCTTGAACTTGGGTGAATTCTTCCTGATCAGGTTCCTCTGCAGCTCTCCAGGGTGAGCGCATAGCTAAAGAGATGTAATTGATTTATAGAACGTTTCTAGAGATTTACGAGGCACAGGCTTCAGAAACAAACCATTTGCTGCTCCCTCCAAGACACAGCGGCCTCAGAGGAGCTCATTACAGTCTGTAATGGATCTCTACTCACATCTAGTGGTTTTAAGACATAAACTCATCTTTGGTACGATTTAAAAAATGTAGACAGTTCTTTTGGTCTACATACAGTGATGACATTTAAAGGACACATTACTATTATCGTGACAATATTTGTCCCATTGCCAAATATTCAGTTAAAGTCTAAAACAAGGCCTGAAATACTCTAAAAGAATCCTAGGGGCAGAGGTGCATCTCTACACTTCTTAATGTATTCATTCTTGGTAATTTAGCTTCTCCAAAGAATATGACACTATTAAAAGGATCGATCGATGTATGCTCGCTTCCTAGAAAAGCATCAAACAATACTACACATTCTTTGGAAAATGATACCTGGAAAATAGTTCATGAAAGCATTTCTTTTAATAATGCATCTATTGATAGAAAACTTGTACCAGGACATGTATTTAATGCTTGCGAGCATGGAAACACAAAGTCATGCTTCAAGGCTACTCAAAGCTTTTCTTCTACAGCTTCCAGCTCCATAGTCTAAGGCAGCGATTCCCAAAGTGTGGGCCGCGGCCCCCTGGTGGGCCGCGAAGGTACTGCAGGTGGGCCGCGAGAGGTCATTTGCAATAAATAAATTAAAAGTTTTTAATTTTCAGTTTTGAAAAGTTTGAAATATTAATATAAAAATATGTACGATGCGGCACATTAGTTATGTGAAACATTAATTGATGAAGCACAAACAATTGAAACTAACAGATTGGTTAACCGGTTGATCCATACAGGTTATACACGGCGCTCAAGGCACTCTGCCAAACACGCCAAAGCTCGTCTACGACGGCGAGATGCTGAGCGGCGCTCAAGCGCGTGACATATGGAGCTTGTTTCAGGGCGCGTCGGAGAAACAAAGCTGTCGTTCTCGCCGAGCACTTCATGAGATTAAAGAGCGAGAGACGGCGCCCTTTTCTCTACAGTAGCTGAACCATCTTAACGGGGAAATAAGTTATTCTACAAGCAGCCGAAGATTTAAGGCGTGGATGGCGAGGGGCAACAGCGAGCGCGTAGAAAACTCCTCCTCCAGATTTCAAAGTGGGCCGTGGCATTCTTGAGTTTGGGAACCGCTGGTCTAAGGTGACAAACATCTCCTCAGGGGAGGGAGGGCTGGCTGGATCAGCTCCACATCAAAGAGAGAGATCGCTTTGTCATTCTTGATTGGAGGAGATGGAAGAGAGAAAATTGTGTTTACACCAAGGCAATAAAACTTCACAACATGGGTTCTTTTTGAAAACTATTCAGATCCTGCTTCACAAATCATCCTTAACATCTGTTTATCACAGGAACACCATGTCTCGGTTCAAGATGTCACAGACCTTAAGTTCACACACACTGAACTTTTATTTGAATTTTCCAACACTATTTATCTTCATATTTCAGTGGGCGATGATGGAGACATATTGGACTGGATATTCCCTCAGCTTTCTAACAATTCCATGAAGGGTCTCTCATCAGCCATATATTGAATGTTTTTGTTGTTTGTTGAATTGCAGAACTGAAATTGAAGTTTTCCTAAATTCTTCATTTGTATCATGCAACTGTTCTTCAGATGGAAACCTCATTCGCTCACAGCCAACGTTCCCCAAGTGGTAAATGAACAGATTTGTCTCTCAAACCAGACACATCATTACCACCGTTATTTGTGTTAATCACTTGTGTCTGTTCGATAAGACGGTTGTGTCCTCTGCCTGTTGGACTCATCTGTATTCATACTAAGGTCACTTTACTTCCAAATTGACTTTCTTTATGTACAGCCATAACGTGTCAAACAAGTCTAAATGAGAATGGGGAGGGGAGGACAACCTTGTAATATCCAACAGCAAATCTGAAATATAGCGTATCATATGTTACCCTATAAATATATATTTGATTTATTCCAAACAATTTAGTTGTCTCCAATGATTTTTGGGTGTCATCCTCCTGAATGCGTTAACTTAATAGTGTTGTATATGATTGACTGTGAGCATCCTAGGTTTGTGAATGACTGATAGCACTTATGAAACATAAAACATATTTATAAACAGTCGGGAAGTTTTTTTAACCCCAAACTTTCACTCCTCAAACCAAGGCGAGAACCGCTTTTGCCTCTACGGCAACAGCGAAGGGACATACCAAGGCCAAACACTAAACATGGGACAGTCTGTTACATACCCCTACCCCATCAATAACAGACGTCCCGTTTCATAACCAGCAAATAAACATAATGTTACACCAAACGCTGAAATAAACAGGAGAAAACAACAAATGGCCATAGATGCCAGGAGTAAACCAACCTGTTAACGGCACCCAAAAAGCAGACCAAAAAACGCTGTTGTGTTTGGTGGTCCCACGTAAGTACAACTAATTCTCTTCAATTATCAGGGAACCTTCTCATTATCCCTCATGGCAGTTGTGGATGCACAATATCGTTTCCGACTGATTGTTTTTGGGGGTTTTTTACCGCACAGGATCAGGTTCTGCTACGCCTCTCCAAGGCCAGAGAAATGGACAATGAACGAGGGTCTTCGTGGCGCAGGGGTAGAGGGGGTGCGCTGGGAACCACAAAGTTGGTCAAAGTGGCCCTGAGCAAGACACCTAACCCCTAATTGCTCCCCGGGCAAAAAATGAAAAAAGCCATGGGTTAAAAATGAAATGTAAGTCGCTTTGGATAAAAGCTTCAGCTAAATGACCTGTAATGTAAAGTGGCTTTCCAGGCCTGTGGGTCCCCTTCCAATGCTGGGCCAGTTTAGTGTGACTCCCAGAAGGGTTGTTGAGCCACACCAACGCGCCCTCTCCATGAGGACGATGGCAAACCTCTTCATCATGACGCAGTTTCTGTCTCTCATGGGCTTCTGCAGCATGGAGGCTTGCCACAAGGCAGGCGGCCTCCCGCACAGAGATGGCACGTACTCCGGCAGGGCTCCAGAGCTCTGAGAGATCCCAACCCGGTTAGGAACCACAGCAAATGCCTCGTGTCCGTGGATGAGGAAGAAAGGGGTGAGATGAGTGCTGGCATGTCTGGATGTATTGTAGGCAAATGCCACTGGCTTCACATGATCATCCCATTCCCCTCCGTCAGGGTCACACCGTATCCTATTGAAAGGCCCCTTTTTCCCTGCCAGGTGATTCATCAGCGTAGCTTACCTTGTAAATTGAACATGCCACTTTTAATGTTATTGGTCTTGTTGTCCATTGTCTAATTGTCAACAACAACCGCCATGTCAAATTCCTTGTGTGTCTAACATATTTTGGCAATACATGTTCCTGATTCTAGGAGAAATTCTTCACAAACCAGCATAGGACCCTCAAAGACTTCAGATGGGTGGCAGGTGGTTTGCCAGTTTCTCACCAAGGATCAAAGGTGGAGAAAAAAAATCACATGAAATCAGACGATATTTATTAATTAATTCATAAAATATAACAGGCATCCAAGCAATTATGACAAAAGGGCGTAAAACATCATTTAAAATGACCTCTCAGGTTATGAAGAAAGAGCCTAAAAGACGTTCAAATCAGAAAATAAAGTTTAACATATATATATCCATATATGTATATAGTATTTATCTATATCCATGTATATGTATGTGTGTATATAGAGAGAGAGAGACGTGACATCAAAATGTTGCTCCACTCATTTTTACACCATTTAAAGCCCCCTGACTCTCACACTCAACCATTTAGCAGCGACATTAGTTAAGTCCCAAGGGGTCAGGGTTTACGGTTTGGGGGGGCGGGGGGGGATTTTGGGCCTCTGTTACATGACTAATCAATCCCATGTTTACTTTGATGATAACGGCCTCGAACGTTCCATTAGAATTTATTTCATCTGGTTTTCTACCTACGTGGATTCATTCTTTTTGTTTGTTTTTGAAGCTGAGATGGTCAATAAATACTAGAAGACTCATCCATCTCATATTTGTATCCGTTAGAGGGATTCCCAAAGTGTGGCGCGGGCACCCCTGGGGGAGAACATGAAATGGTTCTCACTAAGGATTAAAGGTGGAGAAAAAAATCACATGAAATCAAACAATATTTATTCATTAATTCATAAAATATAAAAGCCATCGAAGCAATTATTACAAAAATGCGTAAAACATCATTTAAAATCACATGCTGCGTGTGAAATCCTCACATGGACTCCTCCCATTTTATTCATATTCCTGACTCAGAATTAACATGTTACAATGTTGCAGTTCCCTTTGTTCGTTGTGTGTTCACACCGCGACATGTAACAGCGGAATAAATATTGTACACAAACATCACACCTGAGCAAACTGTTCTGTCATTGGTCCCATTGTGATGCAGCTGTGTGCACTTTTTCTTTTTACGTAGCAGGTGCAGAGAAGCGATAACGCGCCCTTTATTAGCCAGCAGCATTCCGTGCACGCTGCGCACTTCCGGGTCCGTCCTGCGGAGGAGACGCGTCGTTGTGGGCGCAGCAGCATCCCAAGAAGGAGACGGCGGCGGCGATGGCCGACGTACCTCTGTACCTGACTAACGTCAGCGTGTCCGTGGGGCCGAGCGTGGACGTGGAGCAGGTGGGTCTCTCGTCGTCTCGCCGTATCGTTGTGTGTCCGGCCGCGTCCCGTCGTACTAACAGACGTTTGCCACCCGGCGTCTCGCCGCGCGGTTTCTATTGACCACTGACTCCCCTCACAAGAGAACAACACAACAGTCCCATAATAACACGCGCCGTGCTCGTTCCAGGCTCCGCACCCCGAGCCGGCTGTGCAGCCGGGGAGGCGGCAGAGGGAGAAGGTCCCCCGCAGGATCATCCACTTCTCCAGCGGGGAGACCATGGAGGAGTACAGCACCGACGAGGAGGAGGGCGAGGACAGTGAGCCGGAGAGGAAAGACCTGCTGTCCTCTCCGGTTGATGCGGCTAGGGTGAGGAACTGTGGGGGGGTGCAATGTGTGAGCATCCTGCACAAATGTGAGGCAAGGCAATTTTATTTGTATAGCACATTTCAACAACAAGGCAATTCGAAGTGCTTCACATTAAACCAATAAAACATCCAAACATAAACCGAGGTGATTTACAAACAGTTTAGAACATTAATACATTGAAACATAAAAAAAAAACATATTAAAAAGGTAATGAACTACAATAAAATTGTATGTAATGTAATTTAACAATGTCTTTAAGAATTCCGACTTGCAAAAATGGTCAATTGTAGGCAACAGCAAACAGAAAAGTCTTTCATTTGGATTTAAAGGAGGGACCCAGCAGACCTGCAGCTTTCTGGGACTTTGTTCCAGATATGTGGAGCAGAAAAACTGAACGCTGCTTCTTAATGTTTAGTTCTGACTCTGGGAACAGAAGGTAGACCAGTACCAGACGACCTAAGGGTTCGCGGCGGTTCATATGGTATCAGTAGATCAGAAATGTACTTTGGCCCTAATCCATTCAGTGCTTTATAAACTAGCAGGAGGATTTTGAAGTCAATTCTTTGTTTGACAGGACGCCAGTGTAGAGACCTGAGAACTGGAGTGATGTGATCCATTTTCCTGGTCCTAGTGAGGACTCAAGCTGCAGCGTAGCTGTAGCTTTCTGATTGACTTTTTGCAGAGACATGTAAAAACACTGTTACAGTAGTCGAGTCTACTGAAGATAAATGCATGGACAAGTTTTTCCAAATCTGGTTGAAAGTCCTCTAGGTGATAGTAGGCTGATTTTGTAACTGTCTTGACGTGACTGTTCAGGTTGAGGTCCGAATCCATAATAACACCTAGATTTCTAGCCTGTTTTTTGGTTTTTAACATCAGTGATTGAAGCTCAGCGCTGACTTTCAACCGTTCATCCTTTCTACCAAAAACAATTACTTCTGTTTTATCTTTGTTTAGTTGATGAAAGTTTTGACACATCCAGTTGTTGATTTGTTCAATACATTTCCCCAGCCCCTTTATTGGATGGTTGTCTCTTGGTGATATAGATTTGTGGGTCATCTGCATAATGTTGTTTTCCATTATCTGAGCCAATGGAAGCATGTAGATGTTGAACAGAAGGGGCCCCAGTATTGAACCTTGGGGGACACCACATGTCATTTTCTTCAGCTCTGAGGTGTAATTAGCTACAGACACAAAGTATTTCCGGTCTTTCAAGTAGGATTCAAACCAGTTAAGTGCTGTTCCAGAGAGTCCCACCCAGTTGATTAGTCTATCTAGTAGTATGTCATGGTCAACCGCGTTGAATGCTGCGCTGAGATCCAGTAATACCAAAACTGAAATTCTGCCATTGTCTGTGTTTAAGTGGATCTCGTTGAAAACCTTAACAAGAGCAGTTTCAGCACTGTGGTGCTGTCGAAAGCCTGACTGGAAGGCATCAAAACCGTTATTTACGGCCACAAAGTAGTTTAGCTGTTAATGTTTTTTCAATTATTTTACTTAAAGGAAGGTTTGATATTGGCCTATCATTTTTTATTGTTGTGGCGTCTAGATTAGCCTTCTTTAGGAGTGGTTTTTGATAACCGCAGTTTTGAGTGCTTGTGGGAAGACACCTGAGAGGAGGGATGTGTTTACAATTTGTAGGAGATTGGTGGCCATGCAGCCAATGTAAAACCTCTAAGGCCTCTTACTGTTGTGTTGCAGTCCAAGTTGACCTGGGGTCCATACTTCTGGTTTCACATGTGGAGAGCTGCCACGTCCACCATCTCAGGTTTGTGAGCATCATAATTCTGAAATGTCATGAAACCGAACAAATCGACTCAGCTAGATCACAACGGGGAAAGATCACCATGGCAACCCTTTCTGCATCGTAGCAGGCTAACTTGAGAGGTATTGTGGAATTCTGACCACTGTTCGATCAGTCATAAAGTCACTAAAAGCAATTTCAGCAATTACCTCAATATATTATTACTATCACATAAACCTTTTTTAACCTCAGAACCGCTCATCTCTGCATTTGCAGCAAGAAGGGTCTTTTCATTTGACAGTTAGGTGTGTGAGGTGTAGCCACTGATTTGCTCATGTTGTATTCAGTGAGGTAGACGATGCCCACAATGCAAATGCAGCAAGTTTTCTATGGCTGATCAATAAACGAAACCATCTCATGAAAATAAATGTGAGGAAAATATTCTTAACACTTGACAGAAATATACAGTAAAATCACACACTTCCTGAATTCAAGTTCACTCCCAATGACCGGCTTGACTCACTTCATTCAAACTAGACAAAACAGTCTGTTAGTCTTGTATGGGGTCAGATCAGTCTCAATAATTGCAAATGCGCACAGAGCGACTCACAAATACAAACCAGAACAATTCACAAATGTATTCCATTTCCAAATGCACACAGAAGGATTTACAAATTTAAATTATGTTAAATTATGATTTATATTTGCGTATCGCACTGCGTTTATTTGCGGATCGCTTTTTTTTTTTTTTTTTTAAGACTCTCTGTGCGCATTTGCAATTATTGAGACTGAGCTGATCCCATAGTCTTGACACGGTTAATAAATTCGACAGATATCAGCCAAATTTGCTGAATGCTAATAGATATACCATAAGAACTTTCACTGACGCTGCAGATCTATATATTTAGTAAGCAAAGCAAAGTATTAGAACCAGACTATGTAATGCCTTACAACTAATACTTAGTTATTTCTTGTTAATTTTATAATAAAAGGCTTAGTTCTTAGATTTGTCCAAAAGGTGCTGCATCATTACCTGGAATATTTTTCTATATTCAATCCTATTATTGTTTATTATTTTCCAGCCTGTGACTACCTGGGGGAGAGGATGGCCTCCCTCTTTGGGATAACGTCAGCCAAATATCAGTACGCTATTGATGAATACCACAGGATGAAGAAGGAGGTATGTCGGCCACAGGTTCTGTAGAATCCACATCGTTGCAATTTTGTTTGCTGATGCTCTCCGTTGTCTGTGTATCAGAGGGAGGAAGACAAAGAGGAAGACCGCCTGTCAGAAGAAGCGGAGCGATCCTTCGACCAGCTGCCGTCTCAGGAAGACGAGGACGAGCCAATCACCACAAAAGACCTGCTGGACGCGGCCCCCGCTCACCCTGATGTGACCTATCAGGTCGAGAATGAAAATCGGGCGTTTTCGAGCACCATCACAGTTCCTGCTATCGTCACGGCAACCTAACTGACTCTAATAATGGAAGTTTGCACTCCTAATGTTTGTCTGTCTGTTAAAGAAGGAACACAGTCTGGTGTCACCGAGCCCCTGTTTGGTTTGTGCTGTCGATGGCCGTGCTGCTGTGTTTTGGGTGTTTGGCGAGGACAGTCGTGGTGGATGAGTCTCTATGTGTAGCAGCTGGATATTGGAGCACCATAGGATCTTTGAATATATGTAGTTGCGTGTTATGAGAGAAAATATCCTATTATGTCCTAATTTATCTACCAATGCATAGTTTTGTTAACATGTAATTGTTTACAACAACAAATTTACCTGCGGCTTAGTTACTTCATCCAGCGGTTGTAATTCAATTATGAACCTTTTCTGTGGAGGGAAGTTGACATGTTGCTCCCCTGTGCCTCTGATCGACCGTGCCTGAATCACTGCTACAGCCGAGTCAGGGACAGTTCTGGACAAAGCATACCATTGCAAAACAGTTAAGAGATCAAAACGACGACACGTTGACATCTTCAAATCGTTGGGGAACAGCTGTTTGGTCCAGATCAGATCCAACTGGTGCATTCTTGATACAGCTGGCTGCATCAAAGACCTGGTCCTTCTTAAACTCCCTCACAGGTTCATTTACGCTCTGTGTTTTCTATCAATGTGCATTAAGCCTGTATTGCACTCACTGTCTATGTGAAAGCACTGAGCAGATTTAGCCTTGGTTATCAAATCATCTGTGGACCACCACACTGACCTTTCGTTAGATATAATAAGGAGAACAGGTTGCTCTCATCACCCGACTGGTCAAGTGGACATAAGAATAAAGGTTGTGGTGTGTAAGCCTTTAGTAATGGCAGAGAGCATTCTTACACCAAGGCTGCACAAAAACATGCAAACTTACATTTTTGTTACAAACTGTTTTTAGTACGATTTTTGTATGTTTTGAAGTATTTATTGGACCACTTAATTTAGATATATTTTCTATTGATCTGATAATTAACACTGTCATGAACTATCAATAAAATAGAGTATATATTCTTTGTCCTTCTATATCACTTTTATGCAGTGGTGTCAAATATGGCCCTGAAAAATACACCAATTTCTATTTTCTTCATGCAGATGAATGGGAAGCCACTGTTCTTGTGTTCGCAGCACCTTTCAGTAACCAACAATTATAATATTGCCAAAATGAGACTCATTATGGAGGGACAAAAAATATAAGCATGCAAGGCCAAATTGAGTAGAGAGAATGTAAATAAACTGTTGGACGTTTGGAAGAATCAGCAGTCTGTTTTCAGTCATAGACAAATCAAAGACAAGCTGCTCTTCTATTTTTCTGAATTGGATTGAGTTTTTCAGAATGTACCTAATGGTTTTTTCACTCAAAGAGAAGTTATATGTCAATCATGCAATGGTTTTTGGTTGAGATCACATTGCAGTATGTGGTCAACGGACTAAATGAGTACTAACTAAACCAGTGAAAATCAATGTATACACGTACAGTATTTAGTCATGTTAAATCTAGTAGTGATGTTGATGGATTCATAGAAAAAACTAACCACAATCTAAATTCACAGCTGTGAAAATGACTCTTAAAAAAGTCTTGACACTGGTGTAAAATCATTAAACAGGACATTTATTAAATAATACTTGCAATTTGGAGACAGAATTGACACATACAAGTTGTGCATCAAGGCTACTCCCAAGATCTTCTGCAGCGCAGAAATATATAGCTGGAGACACATACTATAACAGGGGGTTCTGGGTAAATACAAGAGCTGGTAATCAAGCTTGTTGACAGGCTGACAAACCCTCCAGTGTTAGTGGTTGCTGAGCTCCAATCCATCTGGGCATGTAATCACTTTGCTTCCGTTTACGGATCATCATCATTCAGACAATTAGAGAAAAGCGTCAGTGCCTCCACACCAAACACAGAATATGTTGGATTCCGATCTCACAAGGACATCCATTCAAACACTTTGACACAATTTAATTCGATCAACCACACAGGCCTGGATGACATTATACACCATCTTAAGTCATCCTCCTGATGCTTAGATATTCTTTCCACACTCTTTTATATTTCAAACTGCATGTCCACTGATCTCTTACAAAACTGTAAACACATCCCTCCTCCCGGGTGTCTTCCCACAAATCCTTATTAAATCACTCTTATTAAGAGCTAAGAGCTATTAAGGCTAATCTAGACGCCACAACAATAAAAAAGTATAAACCAATATCAAATCTGCATTTTTTTTCAACAGCTAAACTACTTTTTGGCCCCAAATAACGTTTTTGCTTCCTATATAGATAGTTAGGGACTAGAATCCAATACAGGGGTTGGGTAAATGCATTGAACAAATCAACAACTGGACGTGTCAAAACTTTCTTCAATTAAATGAATATAAAACAGAAGGATGAACGATTGAAAGTCAGCGGTGAGCTTCGATCACTGATGTTAAGTTCTCAGGTCTTTTCACTGGCTTCTGGTCCAACAAAGAATTGACTTCAAAATGCTGTGGTTGCTTTATAAAGCACTGAATGGTTTATGGTTGCTTGTTATTAACCAGATCTCATCATTATGTGCCAGCGGCTGAAGTTTGCGCAATATTATAGCAGGTAGCAGTCAAACGTCTGGACCCACCTTTTCATTCAAATTAAATTGAAACGTTTGACTTGTACCGTAAAACTTTATTTAGTCTCTGTTTCTAAAGTTAAAATCCGGTAAAAAAGGACTTATCACCTATTTTCTGTGCATGTGTTTGTTCATCATCTCTGCATCACACCTTGATCAGTAGTTTATTTTGTTTTGAAGCCCCCAGATCATTTGTTTTCAGTCAAATTTAGTCATGTTTGGCAGTGATTCTTTTCAGCATGCCTGCATCATGGTGAGTTTACCCTTTAGTGTGATTTAGAAGGCCTTCACTGTCCATGTGGACAATGACCCTTTGTGCAGGATAAGTGGTTTGCACACGGATGGACAAGAGATAAAAAGCAGTGCCTGTTGGTGGACGATGCTCAATTTGGTGGCTCATCTCTACCAGACATAGAAGTCAGTCCATGCCAGGCAGCACAAGGCAGATATACACAGCACCACCCAGTGACAGTGTGCATTGTGTTCTTTGAACACTGCCCTTGATTCTTCATGCTGCTGCGACACACAATACAAAGATACGTTGATGTTGCTGATGTTGGACTCTTGAAAAACTGCGTCTGGCTGTGTAATCAAATTAGTTATCTCATACAATGCAGACTTATACGGAGTCTGATGAATCTCATTTATTTAAGGTGTCAGTTATTTGAGTTGGTTTGGTTGACTTTTATAGGTTTTTGGGGAAAGCAAGTTTTTAGAAAAGCGATATATATGTATATATATTTATACATATATATAAAAGCAAATGCTATATGGCTTGATAGTCATCTGTGTTTGGTTAAAAAAAAAAGACATAAAAGCTGTGAGCTGTAATAATCATGACAGAATTAGGTTTCCTTTTGAGTAAAGAAATATTGTGTTAAATCAACTGAGTGAAACAGCCAGAAACTCAGACGATGAAGTAGGCCGGCAAAAAAATTTCTTTCACAGGAGTTAGTGGCTGCTGCTAATGTACTTAAAAACAACATGTACCACAAATATCCTCTGTAGTAGCGAGTAACAGTGAGAATCATTCAACAGCCTTTCTAATCCTGAGGTGTGGAAAGCCGAAGCAGCCCCATCATGAACATGTCCCACGTGGAGACTTGTTGCCAGGTGCCAGGATCAACGTAGCATACATTCTAGATGATTCGTGCAAATATAAGGCTATAGCGAGCCACAATATCGGGGAAGTGTTTCAGAGACGGAGAGAGAGACATTGAGATGAATATTGGTAATAATTAGTTGCTAAAAAAAAATATCAGAGAGAAAGATATTCCAGCTGTGTTTTTCCAGTAACCCGCTGTAGCAGCTTATTTCTGATGCATTTGTGCATCAAGACACAGCAGCAGTCAGGTGAGAAACGATGTGAGTAGTCAGTCCACCAGAGAGCAGCACTGCCTTTAATAAGACACTCCATTCAAGTTCAAACCATGATTTAAGGAACAATTGGGCTGAAAATTGAATTTGTAGAAGGTTTTATAATATTGACTTGTAGAAAATATTGTGAAGGAATTCCAATCCAATATGTTTGTTGTTGTAGTTTTTCCAGTTTCGATTCTAAATCTGGTCTTTACAAACAGACAAAGAGGAAGTGGACTTTGTCTGTTTGTGCGGCTTTCTTCTGGGAGACGTGAGACAGTCACCGGCAGGCGGTGATGAAGTGGGAAAACCCAGAGAAGCGATGTTCACAAAGCCGTGCAGCCATCAATGCGTCTGCTCGCCTCCCCAAAAACGGTCGTCTGCACGTAAGCGCACGAGTCCGCGTGCGTGAGAAGATCCGCGAGCCGGCCTCGGGCGGCCTGCTTGCGCAAACATACCTGACATTTTTCGTGGGCTGTGAGCGGTGGGGGGTGGGGACAGTAGGGGCCTGGTGTTCTGTCGAGACCAGCGTCTAACCGCATGCCCCCCCCAAAAATACACTGCGCCCCAGCTGACTGCCGTGTGCGCTTGTGTACGTCTCTGGGATTAATTGGGTCGCACGTGTCGCTCAGTCATCGGCTAATTACAGACACACAAACACATTACACGGGTTGCGTTTTGTGCAGAACATAATCCAGTGTCTGGGTTCGTTTGTGCCCATGGTGGGTTACTGGTGCAGCTGTTCCTCGGTGGTGAAGTAGGAATACACACGAATGGAAACAGGCAGACTTGAGGGGATAAAAAAAAAGACAGTGAGACATACAGAAAGACAGCAGGGACGATGATGAGAACAGCAGCAGTCGTTTTGATGTGGGCCTCAGCGGGGCCCCGTGTGTCTAAGGAGGCAGGTCTGCAGAGCGGAGGGGATTTCCACCGCTGCTCGGGCTCCCGTCTCTCCCCCTTTAGCCTTTGCTGCTTTCGTGGGCTGCAGCTTTTTAAAAAAAAACCACAGAGGCCATTCAACCCCAGAATAAACTCAACTGTCACCCCGCAGCGTCGGGCCTCGTCATTGCAGCGATAAGACGCTGGTTTGCTACTACATTGCTTCGGGGTAGAATATGTCCGATGTGAGTTGGTGGTTAATTTGCTGCAGAGCATTCGCATCCTTTTCATTGCGTTTGTATGATTCGTGACGCTGGCGAGAGTTGTGATTATGCTCATGCATCAGTTTGCCATCCACACGACAACAATGCACGCAAACCCTCCATCCCCATGTTCAAACACACGCAGATATTCATTTTTACATGCACAGGAAACCTCTTGTGCGCACAGATCTGTTAAACACAATTACCACACGCTACTCTCACACACTCAGCCCGTGTGAAGGCGCACACCCAAACTCAGGAAGGCGCTGTCAAGAAGAGGTGCTGTTCACACACACACACACCCACAGACAGACCCAGTGTGTTGTGGAAACGCTTCTGTCGGGTAGCAGACTTGTGGTGCGGTTGGCCTGGACGACGCTCAGACAGTGCGACGTGCGGAGCCACACACACAGCGGCCATGATGCACGAGTCGCACACGTATTAACTGACCTGCTGTAGAAGACGTTAACACCAGTCACCATCTAACCGGCCGACGGACCTCAAGGTCATGAGTGCACAAAAGGTTTCCCCGGGTGTGGCAGGAAAATAAATGTGTGGTGTTTAATGTGGTAGCCTTAAACTTAAACTGCGTGATACCCGCAACTGGGAGATGTTTTTCCTACATGTATTTCATTAAAGTTAGGCATGTTCGCTTGTTTAGAAGTGGATTTATCTGCAGAAAACCTCTAGATAGAAAGAGAAAAAGCAACATGTCCACTGGCTGAATGGAATGTGAGACACTTTTCTGACAGTATCTCGTCCTTATCAGGATTTCCTTGGCGAGCGTCAGATCCATTGTGACTCAAAGTACTGTGTGTCCTTAATCACATTCTCAGGGACTTCAGGTCGCGGATGATGGACGTTAGCGGTTGGTGAAAAGTCCCCGTGTAGAAACCTTAGTGGGGACGGCAGAGGAGGGATGGACACACTGTGATGTCACGTGTACAGAATGAACAACAGAGATGCACAATCCATGACAGTGACGATTCCAACACACACACACATCATGGCCTCACGCTCCTCGTGTGCGTTTGCGATCATCTCCTGCTCGTCTTCCTTTGAGTTTATTTGTTAGAGAGTCGTGGTTTTGGTCGACTCTTCCACCTTGTGAAGCGGGACGCGCACTCGCAATTATCCTGTTTACTCAAGTGTTGTTTGAGTGGCGATCAGCCTGCGAGGAAGCGACAGCCTGACCTCAATCGCTGGCTTGATTTGAGCAGGTCGATGGGTCTTTGTTGCACGAGGGGCCCTGATCCCTTCTTACATACATTAGATTAGATTGACCCTGGATTGTCTGGTCATAGATGCCTTTGTAACTGCCTTTTACAAATAAATAAACTGTTGACAAATTGACAAGGCTGATAATCCTCCAACTTCGGCCTCGATGTTTTTAAAATGATATAAAATAGTAATATTTAAATATAATATAAAATAATGAAAAAGCTTCAACTGAGGGACCAAAACGAGCTCTCCCCATAGCCGGTATTTATTTCAGTGGAAGTGAAGGGCGCTTTCTACAACATAGTGACACACTGTTCATTGAGCCTGCTGTTCACCTTCGGTTAAGAACAATAAACATTCAAATCGAGATTAAAACTGGTTCAAATGTTCCTGTAGTTTTTTTCCTGTAGATTAAAAGACTTTTGTAAACTGTATCCTTCATGAACAGCAGGCTGGAGGAACAATGTGGGTTTTTCCAGGAGCTCCTATGAGGCACGGCTGAAAGATTGGTTTCATCTTTTCTTCATTATTTTGCTTTATCTTTCTCCTGACAAAAAAAGGTTCTGCTATTCTAAAGCAAAAAGCGTCTTTCAAACAGCGGCCAGCTGACAGCAGCAAAACACATTTGTTTCTAACAGATGATGTGTTGTTTGACGGTGAAATTCAAACATGAATGATCATTTAAATTAGGGTCTTTTTAGAAGAAATGAGTTGTTTTTAATTCATGTGAATTCTTTAACACGTGTAGATGACGGTACCTCCTCATCTGAACAACCGCTGTGAGTGGTTAGATGACTGAAAACGTGCCCTGCAATTACAGCATTACCATCCTGAAGCAGCCCATTTTTAATATGGAAAAATGCTGAGGACAACAGTGCAGACAGAAGTGCATATATGGAGGACATAACGCGAACATCAGGGGAAAATAACCAAACAGATCATGTTACAGTTTGTCTTTATAAGGGAAAATTATAACAGGACACAAATATATATATATATATATATATATATATATATATATATATATATATATATATATATATATATCTGTATTTTACACAGCATGTGTGCATTTGTTGCATTCACCACGACCTTTCTCCGTTCCAACCTATGAACTGAGAATGAGGACCCGGGGGGGTGATGTCATACCAAAGTATGTAAGTGAGTAAGGCACAATAAGAAGATATCACTTGCATATCCACACACACACACACAGCAGAACATGACTCCATAGAAAGGATGGTGCAGGTCCAGCCAGCACTTTGTTGTGCTTCTGTTCTGGGCTAAAGGGGGAATGTTGTGTCCTTCATGAGGACTCAGCGTAGGACACTGTCAACTTGAACATCTTGTCCCCAAATCTTGAAGCGCTAATACGAGGAAATGG